CCCCTAAATCCGCCACTGCTGTGGATGGCATTTGGGGGTTTTTCAAACCCATGGAGTGTACCTTTAAGGTTGAAATTTTTGTAGTTACTTTTTAAACAATAACTCTTTATTTGTTATCATTAATAAAAAAATCTATTTAATGCCATTTGTGTTAATTTTAAAAATAAAAAAAAAATCAAGTTTGATTTCATAGATATTAGGTCCCTTGTTAATAAATGTTTTTAACACATGCAAAATAATGAAGGGAACGTATACCCAGCCTACACAAATTAAAAAAAAAACGTTATTCTAACGTTCTACACTGCCACTGTCATTATCATTGATCCGAGAAACGTTGCCAGCAAGTTCTGTTCTATTTACGTTTATGAATTTTGATGAAATTTACAAATGATACATATTTGTTAATTTTAGCACGTGAACAAAGGATTTTATAATTTGCATCACTACAATTTGCACAACTTAAATCATCACATCTAGTATTAAAACGTTCCAACAATGTCATAAAAATCAAAAGATGTGTGTCGGTTATATTTGCCAATATAGCAAGCAGTAGTCGCGCCATACGCTGTCGGTACAAAGTTGGGCATCGTCTTAACTTCACCCAGTGGCTGATTACAAATTGGAGTGGGGTTAGTCGGCGACTAGAGCGATGAGGATTTTGGAACCCTTGGGCAGTCGATACCTACCCGAAATTACCGACATGATGAAAAGCCTAAAAAAAACTTTAAAATAGACTTCAATAATGTAATAAGATTTATCAAAATTATTAAGAAATTGTTTTCAAGTAATCCTGATAGATGATTGGCGTTTGTCATGAATTAATGGATTATTTTAACTTCATTTTAGAAAATTCATTCTAATAAAATCCTAACAAGGTCCGCTAACACAGGAGTAGTGAAAGGTTTAGCGGGCAGAACTTGTCTGAAGCAAGTAAGCTTGAATAGTACACTATGGTCATTTGATAGACAAGTTGGGAAGTCCATTCTATAAGAGGGGTGGCAGGTGGGGCGAGTCCATTCCATAAAAGGGGTGGCAGGTGGGGCGAGTCCATTTCATAAAAGGGGTGACAGGTGGGGCGAGTCAATTGTCATAAGAGGGGTGGCAGGTGGGGCGAGTCNTTGCGTCCACACCCGCCTCTGTCTTACTGCCAAGTGGGCATTCGGGAAGACAGCTCGCACTACGATGAACAAGTTGTTGTTATGCAAATGACCACAGGTATAGCTCATTTTAGGTGAGAGGTTGATACTGAACCAAAATTAAATTTTCAGCATCAAGCCCATGTTCGCCATTCATGGAATCAGAAGTTAGGTTTAATAAACCAGAACAAAGACGCGAGACAACAATAAAGTATGAATCATATTATTCTGAATTTCTCATAGTCTTATATATATATAACAACTTGTGCCAGATTTTAGACGGGTCTTTCGTGTGGTCAGGCCCTTGATAAAAGGTCAAGGTTCATGTGAATGAGAACGTGTAACAAGAACCGAATACAGTTTGGTGGGTTCTAAAATGACTACTGAAAAAAAAAAAACGCTCGGTCTCTCTATTTATTTTGTCGACTGACTTATTTACCAATCAGACTGTTAACATGGGCGGATTCAGGATTGTTTCAAGGGGGGGGGGGGCGGAACGACAGACCTCGGATGCGAAGCCGACCATCGCCCCCTTGGTGTGGGGTTTGGGGCCTGCTAAAGGGCCCCGAAAATTTTATGGTTTTCGGGAGATCAAACAGTGCCCTTTGGTACTGTTAAGAACTATGATTTAGCTAGTCAAAATTCTAATTTCAAGAGGGGAATATTGGTGTGATATATTTTCAGAAACCGAAAAGGGGGGGGGGGGGCAGGACCCCCTGACCCCTTCTAAATCAGCCACTGGTGATCTAAACATTTAATAATGAATTATCTGATTTTGCAAATATCGAGACACCAAACAGCTAAAGGCATTGCTCGGTCAAATTGCGAATTACGTTATTTTGTCCATGAACATTGCAACAATATTTACTAAAAAGCGGCAAAGCTGTAAAATTGACAACTATAATGGTTAAAAATGATAAAAGCGACAGAGACAGAGAAATATTTCTTCGGATCCACACTAACACAATAAAAATTTAAAATAATAGTAATAATAATAGTTTGTCTGAGAAAAATTTGCGACAGTATTTTCTTTTTATTGTTGTGTTTTTAAATTCTAGGGAAAATAAGTTTATGAAAGCTGAAAAATTCACAAAACAAATAAATAAATATATCATTCAATAAGATATAAAAGAAATCCAGTTTATCCTATGAATGATTTATACAAGTTTACATTAAATAGTAAAATAGTTTTCTTTTTTATCAATTGCGTTTGTGAGTAAGGAAAGTAAAATGGCAACATGGCCTGCCCTCAATAGACATGGAAATGTGAGGACAGACTGTGTGTGTGTGTGCGTGTGTTTGTGTGTGTGTGTGTGTGGGGGGGGGGGGTTAGCACCGTACTAATAAGGTATCCAAGCAAACCGTGTGGTAGCGATCTCTTCATCATTAAACACACAATGTCTAGGAAAATCGACGAATGAGGAGTCGGAATCTTCCTCTGTAGTCAAATCAATACAAAACGCCTAAAAGTTATAAATGGTAAGTTCCACTACTTCTTCCTATCTTCGGTCAAAAAGTTCTAGAGGCGCAGAATGTATGACAAATATTTATGCCTGCATTAGTCATATTTTACAAGAGCCTATTTAGACAAAAATTGTAAACATTTCCCTTTTCTGGGTAAGAGTCCAGTTCTGACTTAAAACTCATGCTTAGATTTATTAGAAAATGAACATCAAATATATTTTCCATAACAAACAAATGAAAATTTGGTTTGAGTAGATGAACAATTTGACCCGTAAGAAATTCAAGCTTCTGGTGAGAAACCAGTTGTAGATATTCATATAAGACAAAACACTTCCAAGAATGTTGCATTTTATTACAACTTTTTCCTTCTCTTCACATGATCTGGTTACCGTGCAATTGTTTACCTATTTGCAAAAGTAAATCTTTATTTGCACAATAAAGTCGAATCCTGGAACAGTATGCCATTAAATATTTTGATCTTAACAGCAATTATAGATTCTAGATGTTTTTCAAGTATTCTCATACAAACCCAATTAAAATTCTCGTCAATTTTCTAATTCTTTGTAGTTTTAACTATTGAAATGTCAAAGACATATTTGATAATTATTTTTCATCCACCTGACACTCAAAAACATCCCAACATATTTTTTGTCAAGAAAAAGTATGAAATGCAAGCTTACATTAAAGATATAAGATACACCATATTGTACTGAATGAACACATGAATTCATTAAATATCCTTGACATAGAAATATTAATATTAATTATGCAATGTCATTTTCTTTTAAAATGCTTTCATAACCCATGCAGTTTTGGTCAATGTTGAAGTCTTATTCTGCTGCATGGCTTATGTGATTAACAATAAAAACCGTATTCGAAGATAGTCTTGTCAATAAGCTATAAAGTTGTACCCCACTTTTCATACTCCAGTCCATAGCTTCCCAGTCACCTTTTCAGTGGTCTATATTGGAAACCACAGAATGTCTCTGTGACACACAGGAGTTGAAAATAGATTCTGAATATCAGGGTTCAACTTTAAGACCGTTACCCTGAACAAATACCTAAATACATTCGCTAGATAAGAATGCTTTTTCATAGATCTAAATGGTAAAGAATGATAACCATAATCGCTGCTTTTCTTCCTTGCCACTGTACATAAAACAAATTAGGAACACGGAAATATGACTGTACTGATAATAACATGAAATAGATGCCCTGTTTATGACTACTTATCAACATGGGCCATTTTAACCCTGCAACTGCAGTCGTGGAGTCTCCCTTTACTTTTCTACTTCGAATGTGAAAACCAGGCCTACCCAACTACCAGACTCGGCACATAAGGATCCTGAATTAACCAGTATATCGGACCACACTACCCATTTTCAAGGTGTGTGTCAGATCATATTTCGGAAGTATCATATCCCAGAACAAATTTTGTAGGATGAGTCTGGTAGTTGGGTAGGCCTGAAAACTGTGCGTCTGAGCAAAATGAATATGACAAAAATGATTGCATTTTGGTCCCCTTTTTTTCACAAACAGGATTGCAAACATGACGATAAGAAAATAAAAACACTTTACACTAAATTCAGAATACTGAGACTGTACAAAGATACAGGCAGAAATCATCAACTATTGCAAATTCAAACCTCATGCTATGAAAAGTTACTGTATGTTTGAGCTTGTTTCACAGTAGGGTTAAAGACCAAAGTCTTAACTTTTAGACAGCCTTTTTTATTTTCTTCCACTTCAACTCAAGACAGTGCGCTTCAAACATCTGTTGGTCTAAAAAACTAACCATCTATCTTTTTCATAAAGCAGATTTTATGTATCATTTATGTGGACTACCAATGATCGTTTTAGGTCAAAGTCAACTAAAAATTTGGGACAAAAAGCTAAGAAAAACCCATGATCAAAACAGCTTTTGTGAAACAAGACCCAAATAAACTCTATACAGTATATCAGAGTGAATTCAGAACAGCGGACTAAGGCTGTATTCCCAGAGCTTTTAGATCGGTCTATCCCCGTGGGGAGTATCACTAGATTACTATCAGATAATCCGGCTTAAATGTCCGTCCCGCCTACAAGCTGTAAGGGGGTAATTAATTTCTTGTCCACTCGGCTGACAGCTATTTAGCGTGAACCCCCAGGGAGTAAGTTCGATCTAAAGTAAATTGATCTAATCTCTGGAAATGGGGTCTAACTCACAAACTTTAACGCTAGTTGCGTAATCCCCATGGGGAATCTATTCAGTGTCTAATCTGGAATTAAGTGGCAAGCTTTTTAGTGGGTCGCCATATTTTATCCACGGATCTGTTAGTCCGCTGTTTTGAATCTGTCTCAGAGAAAGTGTATGGTGAATAATAAACAGGACAAAAGCAAGTCGGATATAAAATACATAGGTACATTATGTAAATTACATATTTCAGCAATTCTCAAAATATACTAAAATAAATAAGAAGCTTGGGGTATGATAACGTTTCACTTATTACACATAATGAATAAAGTGATTGCGTGTTCTCAATAAAAAGTGACAGCACCATTTAATTTGCAACTTGCCATGAGCTTCCATTTAGTGACAACATTTTGATTGAATTGTGCAGACACTGAAATAAGTCAAATAAAACAAATAAGCAATTTTGAATTGCACAATGGAGAAAATTATTTCAAATTTGACTAAGAAATCCATTAAAGTCAGCTATGAAAACTGAGCAAGCTAGAACGTGTTGGTATCATTCAAAGCAATCTGCTCCTACAACCCACCCCTCCTTTCCCTTCAAAAATACCCATGGATTATATAACATCCAAATACTGCTTTGTGAAAGTCTTGTTTCCTTCCAAAATATTTAATGGCAAACACGAAGCATGGCAGACATTTTGATTTGTGATGAGAGGTAAATTGGCACTTTTTCTTTAATCATTCACCAGAGGGGAATTTCGGAGCAGGGGTGAGATGTCCAACAATTGTTCAGACTGCACTAGCTGCCTCAACAACTCAAAACTGAACTCAACACAATCAGACGTCAATCTGTATGTCACAACTATCACAATCACATCTTCCTGTCATTATTTCTCGAGCTGTCCAACCATCTTAATTCTAACAAAAGGCACTATCTTAGCAGAATAAATAATAATCAAAATAAATAAATAAATATGTTTGTCCAGTATTCTAATAACAGAAAGTATAATATCAGATATTTTGATATTGCAATTATAGAAAAAATATGGCCTGGGTGAATGAAAAGTTGTAAAAATATGACTGGCTTTCCCATTGGAAAATGATTTTCCAGTACAAGGGCAAAAAACATGACTTGTCTCCATTTGAAAAAAAAAAGTTAAGGATGTTTGAAGTAAAATCTCAACCAAATCACATAAGGGGAAAAACATTACTTAAGATATCAAACACTTATTTTTCCCATTATGAACAAAATACACAGCATAAAAAGAGACTAAAATCAAATCTTAACCTCTTCCTTAGTAGAAAATGGAAATATCAGTTCAATTTTTGAGGAATCTGGAATCTACCCTATTATGTCTTTTTTTTAACAAAGCCTTTCATTTTGCTGTAACATATTTCTTACATGACACAAAAAAACTTGCATTTTATAATTATAATAAATCATCTGGCTTTCTTAACAGTATAATTTCCCAAATTTACATTCATTTTTATATTCTTAACAGGTGTACAAAAATCTAATATAACATACCATCACAAAATATTTTGCTGCCAAAATAAATGAGACAGTTAATTTTGTCAAGTTCTTTTTAAATAAAATATATCTTAATGACTCCCTTCTCCTTTTAATACTAATACAAATTCAACTAAATATTTTGAAGAACTGTAATTTGGTCTGCTTGAATACTTAGGAAACAAAATTGTTTCAAAAAGTAGAAAAAATATGTTTTAAGAGTTATCAAGTTTGGCCACATTATTCCTCTGATAAAAAATAAATCTATGACAAACTAAGATTTTAAAAATTCAAGGATTTGTTTGAAATACAAAAGAGCAAATGCATGGATGGTCTTAAAAATGCAACTATCAACAGGATTTCATTTTTTTTTTCATAAAAAAGTTTTGTCTCCACATCGATGATAAACTAACTATAAATGGCTTTAGAACCTCAAAACATTTGTTACTTAATAATTACCCAAATTTGCTGGTAATTCATTGAAATGTAGAAAATTAAAGGTTCTACACTTGTTTTACAAATCGTTAAACTTGTGTATGAGAGCTCATTTGACATGAAAGCAGACATCACAAGATGGCTGCCAACACAATCTCAAACACAACCGTTTTTCAAATTAATAATTTTCCTTTTTAAGTTTTACGTTGTTAGTGTGCACACATTTACACAAAAAAATTGGACCTTTTATTATTAATACACTTAATTCAATGAACCAGCATTCTGTTACAAATTAATTGCTGACTAATTAAGACCTGTCATTGCCACACCGGCCTTTTACTCTTGTTTTTACTGCCCCTCCTGTTTCTCTGCAGCAAAAAGTGTAAACTTGCCTCCAGCTGGTGAAGAGCTCTCCATCTTTACTGGAGCTTTCTTGGCTGGAGCAGTACTACTACTGCTTGGGGGGAGAAATACAGTTTTATGCCGACTGGCACTAAATGCTTTTTTAATGTCACTAAAAACATTCTCTGGTTTCTGGGAAGCATCGAGTTTCGTGTAAAGACCTTTCTTTTTGTAGTAATCCACCAATGGGATCGTCTGCCTGTGGTACGTATTAAGGCGGGTCTTCAGGGCCTCCACGTTGTCGTCTGCTCTTCTCATCAACGGCTCTCCCGTCACCTTGAAAGAAAACTCCCATTAAAATGACTGAAAGCTGATCATGAGTCAATACCACTTAATTTTCATTACAAGTTCTTTACTGAGACCGGGCCAAATTGGTGATAACACACAGATTATGTGAGAGGAAACATAAAACTATTCATACTTTAAATATATATATGTATGAATATATGTATGAGAAGATATCACAAACAACATGCAAATGACACATTAACTGTGCAGCAAACTGGGTCACTTCCATAATTCATGCCAAATATTCCGTTTACTGTTTTGATAACATAGAAAACAGTTTGAAGTTGATCACAGTAGTGGTTGTAGTCTTGTTACTTTCTTTCACTGAACTGCCATGGATTGTTCTTGGGTAAAATGCACCAAAATTAGAGTTTTACTTTTCTTTTGTGAAACTAGCATTGTTGTTATGGTAATAAATGTTTTTTTTATTTGTGAAATTGTACTCATTTCATACTCACATCATCGATCCCATGGACCTTGGGAGGGTTGAACTCCTCGTGGTATGACCTTCCGCTCTTCCTGTGTATCCACCGTCCAGTGATCCGTCGCACCAGGAGAGAATCATCGATACTGAATTCTATCACCGAATCTAACCGCGTCTTCCTTTGGGCCAGGAGCTCATCCAACTAATGAGGGGTGAAAATAGAGAAAGAAATGAATGTAGCCATATATCAACTACTGAATGAGATAAAAACCATTCTGGATCAAAGATCTCTGTTCGGGCTTGGTGACTATAATATTCATCATTTAGATTCCGTTAAAGAATACAATACAATAAAATTTAATTGTTGGAAAGAATGAAAGTACAATCAGTAGCTGAGTAGCTATTCACCGAAAGAATAAATTGAATAATGATACATTGTTTACTACTACTATTTCTAACTACTTCTATTGATTTGATTACAATAGGAAAATAAAGTCTAGCAGTTGGCATAGTATGATACATGATAACAGCTGGCAATTAAGAACTTTTAACTGCCTTGTTTAATTGAAAGCTAAGGAATTGGCAATAAACTGATTGTGTCAGAGTTTCTATTTCAAACAAACATCTTTTTTTTTGCATTTCAAAGCAAAAAATTACCTTCTCTGCTTGTGGTATGGTCCTTGGAAATCCGTCCAATAGGAAACCATTTTTGCATTCTGTGCTGTCTAGGTGCTTGTTGATCAACTCAATTACGATACTGTCACTGACAAGGTTACCGCCATCGATGACCTGTTTGATTCTATTGCCAAGCTCTGTTCCTGATGCTACCACAGACCTCAGCATATCACCTAGAACACAAACAAACACCAAATTTTATCCAATTCAAAACTGGAAGCAGTGCTAGCTTTGAGACACCCTTCAAAACAAACTTGTGTTCCCCATAGATGAAAAAGAAAGAAGAGGGCATTTTTAAAGCTGTGTTTAAAACCGCAAGTAATAAATGAATGGGTTAAATGGCCCAAAGAGAAAAAAAGACCACTTTGGTTGTTGAAATGCGAGCATTTGCAGTAAATATTTCATATTGTCATTAATTACATCAGTATACATCTTTTGAAGTTTTGTTCTGGTGTTTTTCATATGATTTCAGGCTCTTTTATTAAACCTGTACCTATTGTTTCAATTTCTGTATCCATCATGCCACTTAATGTCAACAAAGATCTACCATGTAATATTAATACAAACTAAACGTGAACGAGATATTAATGACATCAACAGGTGCTATACCAACAAGGTCAAGGTCACACAGAATGCAAACAGCTGTCCTGCACAGCTGTTCAAAGTGTGTGTTCCTTATTTATGCAGGACTTAAGCTATTTACCAATTATCAGTTATAGCAGAAATTGGGCACATTCTCAAATTTTTGGGGCTTGCACCATCTCAAGAGTACTCTACCAACATTTAACCCCCCTTTACACCAGACGGTATCTTTTCTGCGACCGTGAACCTGGCATCGCTGTGATTATAGTTTTACACTCAAATGGAGCTGTACTACAGAATCAGAAAGGATGACGTCTAGTGTAAAGGGGGCTTTAGTAACTGCTGGTCTAAAACAATGTCCCACATCCCGCTTACTTCATAATAAACAGCTTTGGATATTTAAGCCAGAGTCTGAGCATTATGAACTTAAAAATCTTGCAAAAATCATTTTTAATGAGACTAAAGGCAATTGTTTTCCCTGTCTTCATGAATGTATTAACCCTTCATTAAAGAACCTTCCTTCATCACATATCTGACTTGTCAATGTGAGGTCCACAATATCTCAAGGATAACACCATGATCTTTTTTCTCTATAAACCATCTTTTCTCAAGAGACCATATAAAACCATATGAATAATATTATTTTTAATCATAAATAACATTTAATTATATAGCAAAACTCACCTGTTGACAGATGACACACCCCATAATGTTTCTTTAGTTTTGGAGCCTAAATGGAAATAAATAAAGTTAAAAAGAAATACATGTACTGCTGCAGTTAATGATAGGTATTAAATAAATATAATAGTGACAGATTCCAAATTCAAATGCAAACATTTTATGTAGTTTTGGAGCCTGAAAAAATATATATAGTTTACATAGTCTAGATACTTATCATATTACTCAAATTATCAACAGGAAACCCTGTATTAACTGAATACGATATTGGCAGGTTCCAAATAATTTACAAAACCTATTGGGTCTTTATGATGATAATGGTCAGAGAATACACTTTGATGGAATCAAAACGATAGGACTAATCAGACATGCAAATTGGCCCCTCTATAGTTTTCTGTTAAGTAAGTACACTATCATCAAGATAATCTTTACACTCTCTCTCTCTATCTTTTTAGAATAGAAACTTTTGCAATGATTCTGACAGGGGGATTGTGTCTGTGTGTGTTGGGGGGGGGGGGGGGNTGTTTACCACAACATTATCATGCCATAATGCAGTTCTGTTTTTATTATCATCTCTTAGATCTTGACCTCCGCACTGTTTAAGTTTATCATAAGGTCATCAATGTGTCTGCTATAGATACACACCAAGCAAAACATGTTCATTTATAAACAACAGTAAACCCTGGATAAATTCCAGGGTTTTTCCCCATTCATAAAAGTTTTTTTACCAGTCCCTAGATTAAAGGGCAAGAATAAAGATTAAAGTGCTGATCGGGAGTAAAATTGGCAACTCTAAATCAGTTAATCAAAAACAAAAATAAAGTAAGAAAATATGAAAGCAGAAGGATTTTTACAGTTTTCTTCCTCTCCCCCTCTTCCTCTCTCTCTCTCTCTCTCAAACACTCTACAATGTAGTCTAAGACTGATAAGTGTTTTGGAGTACAGAAGTGAGGTATCAAGAAGAAACAAAATCAAAACCACGTTTTTATTCATAACCAGGGAATGTGAAATTTGATTAAAAGGGACTTAAACATGTCTACCACTTCATTCAGTACCACAGGTGTGCAAGAGCAGCCATGCAGTAAGAACATCTTAAACTGTACCATTCTCAGTTTTCCTTTAATCACTTGATTCTCCTGCCTTCAGCTATGCAGGGGTAGCCAAGCACCCAAAATTAAGTCCACTACCTGATATAAACACCCTCTCTGCAGCTGGCAGCATTCTTCATGCATGGGGAATTTAAATTTATTTTAGAGGCAATTTCACATCCACAGTTCTTGGTCAGATTCTTTTTTTTTGGTTCCCTTTTTACCAGTAGTGCTAAACTTGAAGTGAGGTTTGATCAAGTTTATCATGGTTTTAGGTTGGAAGGGCAGAGGCAGACAAACAGGTGTGAAATTGACCATAGGCATCTATCACCTCTTAAATGTTTAACTTAATGCTTTTTTCCCCCAGTTTAACACTAGAAAACTAGCCAATGTCAACACATTGAGTATTTTTAACAGACCCATTTAAAATCATTTCCTACACCCTACATGGCAAGCAGCTAATTTTTTTTCTAATATGACCATTATACTGGGGGAATATTTTTTTGCAGATAATAAAGTAATATAAAACGTGTGCTAAAGATCAGCTATAACTCATCCTGAGTGACTGGGATTACCCTAGATATTATGACTTTAGTCCGTGACAAACATTAGCACTGGCCTCATGCCAAAATGCCAGTTAATGGAAACAGAACCAGTTAACTTTTTTGCATGAGCTTGCTCCCTGCTTTGATTTATACAAACTCACCTATTTCTAACGAGGCAAAAGAAATTAAAGCACAGTACAGATCAACTGGCTACCTAACATTGGAAACAATTTTCTCTGAAAGAAAAGGGTTAACAGCCATTTCCAACACTGCCAAATATTTTCTCTATCTCCAAAACTGAACAATTATAAACCTGTTGCAACTGGAAGACACCTGCTGCAATATACATAACTTCTAATAAGTCACTGATCAAACTGGAATGACAGACTTTTGTACCTTAACACTCAACACTCAAAGGGCACTTATGCGATAAAAATCAGATAACAGCAAATGGCCTGCACTGTGACATTAAGCTGCTTCACATATTTCAGTGATATGACATTTAAATATTTACAAATGTCCGAGTGTTTCTATTTTTTCACTGACGGGGCATTTTGGAATTCTATTTATCAAAATGGTTTTATCATCGTGAAAATGGGGCCGTAGCAATAGTCCAAAGGTTCAATAGTCCGAAGGTTCATTGGTCCGAATGTTCACTACAGAACCTTCGGACCAACAAACCCTTGATTAAAAAACCGATAAAAATGTTACCGTTTTTCAGACCAATGAACCATCGGACTATCGAGACGCCCCCGTGAAAATAATGAAATAACTGATTGCCTCGCGCAGTAAACAAAATGACCAAGTGACAGAAGCCATGGGTGTGAAAAATGTTATATAAGTCTGCATTTTATAACTATAAAAAACTAAAATAACTGCAAAATGTAATGTTCTTATTTTTCATCTTAGTGGAATTTCTATTTTTCAAGCTACATCAAACATTAACAATCCTTTACTGTTCTCGCTCCACTTATGTTAAATTACTCTAAATCGGCTAGGCAAAAGGGAAAACTATATTGTTTGCATCAAAGGTTTTGAAAGTGAAAAAGCATCCATTCGCTCAACACTTAACACAGATAAAATCGAAGGCCACATTCTGCTAAAACAAAGTGTAACAATGAATTAAAAATTGTAGGGCAGATTCTTGGATAATCAGGAAAGATCTAATCAAAACCGCAAGTTACATCAGAACACCAAGCGTAACCGTCCCCTGGCAAAATCAGTTACGGCGACAGATGTCTAAATGCCGCCTGAGTGGATAACTTTAATTTACAGGAAAAAATATAAATTTAATATCTGCCAATAAACACACATTTCTTTAAAAAGATTATGGGGATTATCCACCGTCACTAATTTGCGAGTTGAAGCCAGTCGCTTACGGCTACGGCGATTGTATTTACCGTTGCACCGTACCTGTGTTCCTTTGCCCGCACCTGGTGGACCCAAAAGGACGGCCTTGATCCCTTTCCCTTCGTCCTGTGGCGTTGTTTCGCTTTGTTCTACCGGTGGCATGATGGTGTAGCTCCCAAGTGCAGAGAAAAACGAGAAATATTGCAGGAGAAAATTGAATGAATGACCTGACTACGCGAAACGTGGAGTATAAGGAATGAGACTGAGGCCAAGGTGAACGGACATGCGTACATGTAACTTCCGGGTCAAGACTGTGTAGATTTCTTGACTAATTTTCTAACCCTTTAAACATTCCAGCAACTTATACACCAATTCAAATAGATGTATTTTACTAATTCATACAGTTCATATAGAATACTAAATGAAAGTTAACCTTGTATCAGAAAACTCAATTTTGTCGAAAAATTGGGTCAAAGGTCACATGATAAGAAAATGTGCAAAATGGCGGAAGGGGAGTAGACTTTGTAAACTTTTTAAGTGATCAAGTTGTTATTTTGTGTTGATCTTAACTCTCAGTCAAAATGCATTTCTCTATCCCCGAGACACAAGATTGCAAAGATGAATCGGGATCGACGTACACGGTAAGTATTAAACTAGCGTTTTAATTGTGTCAGCGGAATTAAAGTTCTTGAACCTCAGCTTTCCTGGTAAATAAGGACACGGATGTCAGTGATGGTTTTATTGCGTTTGATTATTATAACTTTTTTTGTGTGGAAAAAATAAAACGGCAGAATTTGAAAACAATTTGAAAAGAATTTGAAAAGAATTAGATTTTGAGCAGTTCATTTCTGCCATTCATGACTGAATCCGATTTAAACGTTTTCACTTTCATTTGTCAAAAATTACATTACAGTGATTTTTCTCAGAATAAATACTGGGGTATTTGCGGTTTGAAGTTCCTATTACAGTGAATTGATATATAGATGCCATAAGCAAATAAATGCAAACAAAAATATGAATTATTTGAGTTATGACACATGGATTCGCTTGTGCACACACACACTGACACACACCATTATTCTTATATTCATTATTATATGATATATACATATATCTTATATGATACATATATCATTTCCCTTATTTTAGGTATTTAAAATTCATGTAAATGGAGTACATCATTGTACAGTGAGATACAGTCAGCTCCATAATTTTCACGAACAGGTGAGACTGTTGCTTGTGCAGCTGCTTTGGTATTAAAATATAATTGTTTCGTTAATAAGTGCTATTGAGTATTAACTTTAGGGAGAAAGACAAAAATATATTAAATAATATAATGAGATGTGCACAAAAGAAAAATAAAGTATAAAATGATGTTGCTCAATATTTTATTTATAAAATGTGTGAATATGATATGTAAAAGTAGGGGTCTAGTTTTGACTAAATATTTTAGTTTGGAAAAATTCTTCAACACTTTAGTTTAAACTGTGTGTATTCCCCTTTATCAAGACCAAATAAGTATTAATTTCATTAGTATGCAAGTATTTGATGAAGAATATTATCTTATTGATGTTATATTTAACAATTTCAGATGAAAAAAGAGTTTGGTGCCAATTCACTCCCACAGTTCCCACCAAAGAAATTTAAACTTCTACAATTAGGGCCTGCAGAACTTGAAGAACGCAGGGCGCAGTTAGAGAAATACATACAAATAAGTAAGTACCTAGAAGTTCATGTTTACTTTTTGAATGCAGGGTACATTTAGAGAAATAAATACAAATAAGTAAGTTCCCTGAAGTACATGTACAGAAACATGTTTGCGTGTGTATGCAAAGAAGGCTTGTAATTCAAAATTGTAAATCTAACTTTTACATGTATTATATGTTTTTTATGTAGAAACTGAGGTATTACTGTGTTGTTGCTAACCCAGACTTATCCTTAATTTCTTACATTTTTGAATGGACAAAAAAACACATTTTTATAAACATACTTATTTTTTGTTTATTTATTTATTATTTATTTGTTTACCATATGTGACAAATAGAGAGTATGTGTTTTTCAGTCAGCCAAAATCCACAGATTGCAAACAGTGATGTTTTTAATGGATTCTTCCTCAGTGCCCAACAGGTAAGGGTGTGTGTTTTAAGGGATAATCATCCAAGTGAATTGTGTTGGTGTGATTGTGCAAACTCTTCCAGATATTGTGTTAGGTGTGATTGTGCAAACTCTTCCAGATATTGTGTTTGGTGTGATTGTGCAAACTCTTCCAGATATTGTGTTAGGTGTGATTGTGCAAACTCTTCCAGATATTGTGTTTGGTGTGATTGTGCAAACTCTGCCAGATATTGTGTTTGGTGTGATTGTCTAAAGGCTGCCTGATATTGTGTAAGATTTCATATTGCAAACTCTGATATTCTGTTATGTGATTGTGTTGGAAAATTTGAAAAACAAAAGTACCACTTGCCTTTAAAACAATTTAATTTTAAAATTGAAATGTCCAGCTTATCTAAAAAGGAAAAATTTGCACCAAATATGAAGGAGATTGCTCTCCATGCACAGTGATGTCATGAACCTTGTCTGTTTAAATTAGGAAACGCAGCATGAGGAACCAGAGCGTGTTACTCTGGACGTGTTTCTAATGAACGGTCACAAAATAACAGTGAATATTTTGTCTACAGACCAGACAGAAGATGTTTTAGAGGTAGGGAACATTGTGGAGCACTTAGTTCACATCAGGCTTAGACTTGTTCTATGTCAGTGTTCACATTTCAAAATTGTGATTTTTTTTCTGATAACTTCGGGCGATTGCCGCCATTACCCATTGCCTTGATTATATTGACATATGATGTTAACGATGTTATTTTATGTTGGGTGCTTGAGAAGTTATAGAACCCTTGTTACTTGAAATCACCTTGTTTACTATTTCTGTTTTAAGTATTTTTGTTTTATAAGTAATTTCATTTTATGGTCACAGAAAATTATAAAGAAGATGACATGTAAGAATGAAAAAAAAAATGAATAAATAAATTTAAATGCATCAAAATATAGAATTGCCTTACGGTAAGAGGAAACCTTCGCTGTAAAATGTTGAACTTAACTATAGTCTTTAATTTCAGACTGTGGCTTCCAACATCGAACTGAAAGACGATTTTGTGTTTTATTTTGGTCTTTATCTAGTCAAGAAGGAAGGTGGAGAAAAAGAATTGTCAAGTAGGTGAAAGTTAAAATAGCTGAAAATGAGCCGGTGTTCACTCTAAAGTCTTAAGCAACTTTTAGCCAAATGCTGACCATATTCTAATTAAGTCAAGAAAAATGTAAAATATCTCATTATCTTACGTCTGATTGCTTCATAATTTGATTTGCTAAAAATATTTATTTTTAAGACTTTAAAAAAGACAGAAAAAAAAACATCTAAGGATGTAACATAACATATGTACTGTACTTTATCTATTCAGATTGGAGATTTTTTAACTTGATTTACTGATATAATTATGATATTTTCAATTTTTTATCATTTCCCTATATGAATAAACATAGTTAATATTGTATCTATCAACATAGATAACATTGCTTTAACCATCTTTTCAGTTATAAGAAAGCTCCAAGACTTTGAGTCCCCCTTCATTTCCCTAAAGGCTGCAAATAAAGATGGCGTCCATAAAATTGTGCTTCGTAAAAGGTAAGAATTTGTAATAATAAGTGAATGTTGTTAGTCATCCAGTAAAACAAGAATGATAGATATGAATAACTCTGCTACTGGAACTTGCATTTTATCAGAGTTATTTATATTTATCAATTTGTAATGAACTTGATCTTGTCATGGACCTTTGTTGGAGATAAGATAATAATACAAGTACTCACTTAAAGTAATTATATGCAAATTAGTAAAATCAGCATTTGATATTCTTGTGCCTATGGCCCCATTCTGAATAGCGGACAGTTGACTCATACTGTTTGAATAATTGTATAATTATTAAATTCAATGTAATGTTTAAAATCAGAGTTGCAGAAATGGCTTCACTATTAGTATGATAAGATTTTAAAGATGAAAATGATAAAACATGTTTCTTGAAGGGAAAGAAAAGATTAGTAATTTGTCTTTGTTTTGCCACCTTTCTGTTTTTCTTTCCATCCATCCATTCCTTTATCCATTTATTTATTTATTTATTTATTTATTTATTTATTTATAAATTCATTTATTTTTTTTAGTTACTGGGATTCATCATTTGATGACGACTTATTAGAAGACAGAATAGCCATGAACTTGCTCTATGTCCAGGCACAGAGTGACCTAGAGAGAGGCTGGATCCACGCAACTAAAGAACAGATGAAACAGTTGACAAATCTTCACCAGAAGGGGTCTAAAAAAGAAGTAAGTTTTAAAAGTTACAAAGGAGATAAATAATTTTGTGTTTAAATTTTGTCAGGAAATGGATTAATAGAGGTTAAAGATAAAAAAAATGATGCTTGATCTTCAATTCATTTATTAATTTTAACCATAAATACTATTTCTCCTTCTGAATCACTGAAAATTAGCTATGAAACGCATGGAAAATGCATAAAATAGCCCTGTTTTACTCAAGTAAAAAAAATTCAAGTAAGGCTCTGTATATGAATTTTGTGTGGAAAAGGATAAAATAAATGTCTTACCCATGAACTTTCATGCTCTGTATTTTAAGTCTGTATTGAAACACATAATAAATAAAACACATTTTACTCCAGATCTTTTTATTTCTTTACAGTATCTCAGACTTGCAAGGACACTCAAATACTATGGCTTCCTCCACTTTAAAAAATGCCAGACAGACTATCCCCAAGATGGCTGTGCTGCTGTAGTTGCCGCTGGCAACAGGGAACTGAATTTTAGGATTCAGGTTTCAGAGGTTGGTATCACTGTCAACAATCTTGATTTGTTGTAGGTTAATGTGATAAGTTTATTATCAATTATTGATTTTGGCTGAGGTTTGCAAATCAACATACTGCAAAAAATGTAATTAATGATTTATTTATGTAATGTAATTATACCTGAAGGTCAGAGTAACATCAAAAGTTGCAACATCTTCACATCTGACATTGTTGTTATCTCACTGATAAGATGTGTCCTTTAGTCTGATTGGAAAAAAAATCAGCCATTATGAGACAGTGTCATCTGTCAATATTGGATTTTATCAGATCTTGCATTCCAGAATATAATACTGTATTCTATGCTAATTTTTAGGATCAGCTAAAGGAAGGAAGTTTCAAGATCACCCGTATGCGATGTTGGAGAATTACAACAACAGTAAGTATTGCCATATACCACACTACCATGATGTAAATGCATCATTGCACCCATGGTTTTTGATGGTCAATATTCATCAGCAGAATTATAATTACAAATAACCTGACAAAATAGACCTACTCAAAACAGATTCTGCAAATAAATTTTAACCTACAAAGATGGTGTGAGTATATATGAATCAACTAGCCCAAAGCAGAAATAATGGACAGTAACTAATTTCATTGGTATTCAGTGTTAACATCCAATACTGACAATACAACACCTCAGTGCACATGATTTTGAACAAAACCTAACTTTGAACTTCCTCAAGCAAGCTATAAAGAGGGATAAAATTTTTGGTTATCATGTTTTAGCTTCCTGATGAAGAAAATGAAAACCCAACAGACCCAAAACCCACACTGGAGATAGCTTTTGAATATCTGATGGCCAAAGATACCCTGAAGTGGATCACCCTGTTCACCGATGAGGTGAGACTAAGAATGCATTCATAACGGCAGACTAGCAGATTTTTTATGAACTTTGGACTGACTGTCATTTGATATATTTGTTAATCTTGTTCAATTATAATTTTACAGGCAATTCTAATTAGCATGTGTCTTCAAGGAATGGTGGATGAGCTAATTATGAAGAAACAGGGCAAAAAGATGAAGAGGGTAAGAAGCTGATCTTTTAATCAAGAAGTTATTAATATTTTAAGAGAGAAAGAGGTGGAACTGTGACTGTAGGAATTATGGGTATTGGAAGAAATTTAAGCACTAAGTTATTGAAGGGATTGATAAATTATCTTTTTCTCGTCAAACTTGGGTCAATTGTGAATCTGAAAAATATTGAAAAATTATTTTATGACAGAAGATGAAAAAATGTTCTCAGATGGAGAAACACAATTACTGATACAGTAATATCTTGCTTAATTTCCCCCCCCCCCAAAAAAAAAAATTGTTGATCTTGCTTAACAATGATTCAATTGTTTTCATTTAATATTGTATTGATAGTGATACATGAAAAACTAGAGTTCATCTTTATAAGTACCAGTATGTTGATGTCATGTTCATAACACAGGACATAAGGCATATTTCAGCATATTTATCAAGCATATTTTATCATTTCATGTGAAATTATTTCACTTTATATTATTACTATTATTTATGCAAATGTTTATAGCCACAAGATCGAGTAAAGAGGGCACCACGTGCATACCTGAAAAGGGACGGTACAAGCAACGTCACATACAACGAGGCTGATGTAAGTATTACTGTCTTGTACTGTGATCCTAATATTTAACAACTCTTAACTCTAAGATTTGAAACTTGTTTGGATTTCTTGATGACAAATAATTATTCGATATTCAAAATTTGTATGCATCTGCTTAGAAGTTAGCTAGTTGGTTTAAAAGATGTTATGTATTTGACTTTGGTATGAGATTGATGAATTTTTTGACTAGTACAAAGAAGCATAATTTTCAGAAGAATGTGAGACTATGAATTGAAGTTGAAATTTTCACAGATTATTTGGCTACTACTCAGTTTGACCTGACATTGAAATACATTGCATTTGTATATACTAATGTGACGATGATTGTCCATCTTTTTGTTACAGAATGAGGAACACACCACAAGTACTGCACAGAAAGCAAAGGAATCTGTGAAGAAAATTTCAGTAAGTTAATATAACATTACTTAGCTGGAGGGTAAGGAAATAGTTGGTCAATAATAAAGTCATCTGGCATTCAATTGTAAGTTGGTGGAATTTCCAAATTTGAATGAAAAATATATTTGAAAGGATTCATTGAAGACTCTGATATTGTTTTATATTTTATTTACATAAATATAATGGGTAAGACAAAAGCGGAATTCTTTGGTATGAACTTACTAGTATTTTCAGTGAAATGGAATTTTGAAATATTTTTTTTAAATTGACACATAAAAAGATTCTTGCAAATTGTTTCTAAAATTATTTGGTCTTTAATTTTCAGGATAAACTCCAGTCATTACGGACATCAGCTTTGGCACCTGATCTGCCAGAAAACGATGCTTTTGTGGGTGGAATAGGTGATGATGACCTCTGATGAAATAATGATCTTAAAACCTATGATGTCACAACATTTAGAACAGCAAAACCGGTGATGTCATAAGATTCTGTCTAGCAAAACCAGTGATGTTATAAGATTATGAGTTAAATTGAGAAGGTGGTCTCATCTTCACAGAAAAGGCTGATTTTGAAAGGAGGAATGAAGAAAGAGAACATGGTTGTGATTGGATAGAAATCCTAGGAGGGATGAGACAAGTTGACAAGTTGACTGAAATCCAGTAATTTAAGGGACCATAATATAATCAGAAGTCAGATGCATAATATCTGATCAAAAGCAATAATTACACCATTATGTTATATTATAACCATCGATATATTAAGATGCATGGCTTAGTGATCAAATTTTAGATAGTTATATATCCCAGCCATTCCAAGTGCAATAATAAAATGGCAAGACTCTGTTTCACAAAGGAACTTCAGTCCAAAAATTAATCTAAACTTAAGACCGAAATTTGTCAACTATTACCCAGGATAAATCTGCAATAGTTCATTTAAATAAAGATGTGGTTTATGTTTCATGCCACTATTCACTTAATTTAAGTGGACTACTGAGGATTTATCACAAACTGAAGTGGACCAAATTTTTGGCCTAAACTTTAGTGGTCTAATAGACCAATTATTGGGCTGAATTTGCCTTGTGAAACAGCTGGCAGGAAGTTTTGGTTGTGACACCCTGAGTTTGAGCATTTGTTGGAAATGCCCCTTTGCTGTCAACATGCCTGTGGCATTTCTATTCAGTTCCCATATCTGCAGGGTGTATGGAATTTGATGACTACAAAACCTTCTGTAAAAGTTGGGAGGGGGAAAATGAATATAAACCTTTTGCCAAAGTGTGTGGAACCCAATGTTTTCTGTTTGTGCAGTTTTAAATCAAAATATATCTGTTTTGATGCTTGCCTGTCAGCTAGCAAAAATTCACTCACATATTTATTCATTTATACTTCATGGTAAGTTCACTCACCTTTGAAATTTTCAGACTTTAACCCACTTCAGTGTTCTAATGTTTATAATCTTACTTCAAGAAACCAGTTGAAATAATCATTCATACATGGTCTAAAATTTCACTTGCCAGCAAGGACCCAAATATACACTCACACATGAAAACTTAGGAGATTATATCAGGTGCCTTATTGTTAACTTCGCATATCATCGTTATTATAATCAAAGCATTTTTTGAAACTCCCAAAGATTTCTGTTATATATTTATACATTTATCCTCAGTGTGTAGTTTTGTAGTGTTTCTGGAAGCATAGCACCCTGAGTCAATGGAAACTTGCCACGATAATCCCTGCGAAAATTTGTCTCATTTAACGCTCACCGTTCTCTATCTGACCTAGAACATAATGTTTTTCTCTTTTAATGAAAAATGTTCTTAATCTGTTCCAGGACATTCTGAAGGACTTCCTAAAACAGTTCTTGAACTGTTAGATTCATTACAGAACAACATTAGAACTATAAAAAAAAAAAAAAATACACCAAATTTTCTAGAATAGATTGAGAACCGTAAGTGAGCATTGAGTGAGAGAAATTTTTGCAGGGGTGGAAATGGCAGAAACATGCTCAGAATTGGGGTGAGTTTCCAGTGACGTTGGAAACTAAGGGTGGTTGGAAAATGAGAAAAAAAAGAAGAGTGTAAATTTCAAGTCTAACGTGCACTGGTGCCATAATATATGATATTTCTGTTTGGTCATATTTAAGGAATGATCATATTCTATGTGTGAGAAAATTTCTATTCAAGGTGGGCTTAGGGTTAAACTTAGGACGTGTAGAACATCTCATTTTTATAGCTCAACAGTTGAGAAAATATTTCAGAAATAATTTGTTTCTGTTGAACTGATGCAGTTAATGTTACTACTATAAGAATAAGTATCTGAATGTTTATGCAATTTTTAATAATCCCTCCAAATGTTACGCACTGATATTGTTATTATCATAATGTTTGTTGAAGGTTTCTCACACAACTTTTATAAATAAAAATAAACAAAGTTTTGTGATTCATAACCAGTATGTAACTTACACTTGCCAACAAATTTTTAAAAAATCATCAAGAATTTATTTTATTTTTGAATGAATTAATGAATGGATGGAAAATATTAAGTTGGCTGTGGGCACATCATACTTATATGATTAAAAAAGACTTTCACCCAAATGTTTGTTAAATGTCATGACCTTTCAAGGTCAAGTGTAAGTTGTCACCTTTGAAGGTCATCCTCGAACATTTCATGACTTTATATTACTAAATGACATAGGCCCATTTGGCAAGGTCATTTTTGGAAAAAATAATCACATCTCCGCATTGTAACTGTTTGTTTAGACAAGGACTTCTTTAGACCGACTTGTTTACCTCTGTATTTCTTTGATTGTAGTTCACAACTTCACATGGCGTGGCTAAGGCTGATGTGTGGTCCAAAGTGCTCCCTGTCTAAACTGTTCTGCGCTGACCTCAGGTTTTCTGATAATATGAGATATTTCCAGTTCAAAGCAGGTTAGCAATCAAGTGTGATATACAGTCCAAAGTAGCCCTTGTCTATACATGAGAACCATCAATATTCAAGAATAGAAAGTTATGAAAATTTCTTTGTTCAGATTTAAAATTGAACATGATATATACATATATAGAATTGGCATAAGGATTAATTTTTTTTAAATATCAATAGTAAATTATAAATTCAAGGTGCTGATTATTACTATAATATAGGCATAATACTAGTGTATAGGGCATGTATATTTTAAAAAATTGTCTCAGTCATCCACACTAATAGAAAACAGTTTATTCCTTGCAGCACTATCAGTATAAATCATATGTATCATAATGTCAAATATGTAATTCCTTATTCCACACTAATTCGTATAGTCGGGGTCTGGTTAGCATCTTCCCATATTGATTTTTAGAGAGAAAAAAAAAATACTTGGCTCCTTACTATTAGGGAAACTCTGCATCACAGGGTCTATTTTAGAAAAAAATGTTTGAAACAATGGAGAAATAATGTGCAAGGGCATTAGGAACAAGTTATGAAAATCACAAACAATATTTTATACTAAAAAGTCTTTGCCTTTACTTAAAAGGATTGATCGAATTCAAGATGATATTGGAATTTTGACTCCTTGAGTTTCAAACAGTTATCTTTGCAGCATGCCTCTGCCATATATATATATATATATATATATATATATATATATATATATATATATATATATATATATAAGGCTACATTCACAACAGCAGACCTACTAGTCCGTGGAACAAATATGGCTGACCCACTTGAATGCTTGTTGCTTAATCCCCGGGGAGAAACTATTCTGTGTCAATTAAGGGATTCAACGACAAGCTTTTAAGTAGGTAGCCATATTTGATCCATGGACTAGTTAGTCTGCGGATCAACTGGTTCTGAATGCACCCTCAGTGTTTTTTTTTTTTTTTTTTAGTGTAGCTCTGAAACCTGGGTTAGAGCTCAATTATAGAACCCATGTCCATATTTAAATATGTATCTTGCACGCAGAGGCTGTTTTTTTATTCACCTCATAAGCACGCTTCATTTTCTGCAAAATCATTCAAATAAACATTTTTATACTCATTGCAAATGTTTTTTTTTTCTAGTAATTATGTATGTTGGAAAATAGTATGCTATATGTATATGCATTTGAGTAAGTTTTATGTCTAAACAAGTTAAACTTTTTCATTTAAAATGTAAAATCGACAGATGAAATGACACCTTTGATTTACATTAAATTTTTACAATGAAATTTTGGCATAAATTAGTACAGACTCTCACAAGCTCTCATGAGCGTGTCCATTAAAACAAGGAAGAAATAATATTTGCAAACAACCATTTCTGAGACAAAAAGACATTTATTAGAAATGAATTATGTACATTTTCTCATATATGTACACATGAGGGCTTCGTCACATCTCTGCTTCATAAAACATGACTAACCCATTTATCATCAACCAAAATAAAGAAGATGACAAAAACATGGATTCTATATCAATTTACAAGCTAAAACATGAGAAATTTACACAATAAAATAATAAAAATAATGTACAAAAACAATTTAATATATGTTTAGCAATTATTGCCAGGCCATGCTAATACTATTACACAACAGGATGGTTTTAAAAAAGACCCTAAATCACTTAAAACATGATATGTAGCTTTGAAACTTTCCTTCCCCATTTGAAGAACAGGTTTCTTCTCAGGTGACAGAAGTCAGCCAATTACACAACACTTTGTCATCACATGACCTTACAGTGAAAATATTAGCCAATCCAAAAATGGTTAACAAAATATATTAACCAATGAAAGAAGGGATAACAAATGACCAGAGACAGAAAGCACATTGGAATGATGACACAAAAGGCTCAGGCCTATCATAACATAACCAAACAGTGATGGTAATAAAGTAACCAAGGTAGAAACATGGTTATTTCTTAATCTAATCGAGTAACTCTCCTTACTAAGTCTCCATGTTAAAAAAAAAAAAAACACTGGTTGGCAAACCACAAAATATTTCGATAAAAAAACTTGCCAACAAGAAACATTGGAGCCACAGTACACAATCATGATGGGGTGTTCGAAATTTTATAAATAATCAACTCCCTCTATCTTTCCTGTAGGTGGCACCACAGTAAAGGCAAGTGGTTGGCACTGATATTGGTTATAATCTTTTAATTTGATTTAATTTAATTGATCTAAGTCATCACCACACATACAAAAGAAATATATTCAATCCAGTCACTAGTATTTGGGACTAACTTGATAGTAAAAAGCTCCTTTACATTTTTTTCTCTGCCTCATAAACACTTCTGAGTCACTTATAAAAATACTGATGGTTTTGGAATAATTCTCTAGAAAAGGACCACGTAAGGTAATGAAACCATCTTTACAATGGGGAAAAATTGTAAATTTTGCTAATACTGTATTTTTTTTAGCTCATAAATTCATAAAATTAGAACATTCCTATTGAGTGGCAGCAAAAAAGCAGACTATCCTGTAGTTCTCTACTATACAGTAAAAGCACCAAAAAAAGCTGAAAAGAAATATATGTTTAATGATTCCAAAACTATATATCTGAAAGACTTAAAAATTTCCCCATTGAAAACATCGAGTCATTGCCATATTTCAGAAGTTTCTGCCAGCGTCTTATAGGCAAGACCAGTTTCTGTGACTTTCGTAAAAAAGAGAAATATGAAAATAACTTGTTTCAGTAATCAAATGTGCTTCAAAATCTTGTAAAAAATTAACATGATTGTCTTGCTGTCTTTTAAGCATTGACACTCCTATATAAACATGAAATTGTGCTTGAGCATTAAGGGTATAAACCACCCCTTAAAAAAGTCTCCTGCCGTCAATGCCTCTTTGAATAGTAAAAGGAGGCAATATAATTTTCAAAACAAATTTCACATTTTGGTTTCAAGTCTATCTTTCCAAAAACTTGCTTTCAAATCAGAGATGAAAGAGTACCTTAAAAATACCCTGCAAATGCAAACGCGAAAGGATTGCAGCTTCATCTGGGGGTTGCAAGTGTAAGTACAATACCCAATTATCCAGATATATCCAGAAAACTCTTATATCTACTCAAATGGGCTGAAACATGATGTAAGACATATCACTTTACATCTGTCATGCATCTGATATCTTAACCAAGTTCACACCCGAGTAAAACATAGGCCCTTGTCACACCCAGCAGTATACGTTACTGATACAATCCATATCAATAAACTTTGAGAGGTCCTAACATGCAATTATGCTTCAGAGGTTTCTACTCCCTTTGACAATTTCTCTGCAAGTTTGCTTTGCCTGTTTAATTAGTTACTAAATTGGCCATGTTGTTTAATGAACTTGTCAAAAAGTGTACCAATACTGATTGTATCATTTCAGTATGGCACTCAGCGCAAAAAAGGGCCCATGACTTGAAAACTAGATGGAAAAGCAGACATTTGTTTTTCAAAATACCTTAGAAAGAGTGTATCTTTGCTGTGCCTCTTGTTTTTTTTTGAGAGAGGTTTATCACCCATATATAAGTATATACTGACAGCAAATATATTCTGAAAAATAGCTATAAGCACAGATGAAAACCATCTATGTTATTTTTCAAAGTTCAAAGTCAATTTTTGAAACATATTTTCTCAACTCTTAAAATTAAAACTAGTCTATGTTGAAGAGTAA